AGTAATCACATCAGTTGCTGGCCAGGCAAACCTGTTCAAGAAAGGGATTCAGGAATTTGCATCATTTTTCGTTGAGCTCTATGTGACACCTTTGACGCATAAACACTCAGATCAGTAGTGTGTTACGGTCACAGGTCCTAAAGGCATAAGGCACGATACTTTGGTACTCGGTCTAAAATGTTAGCAAGGGTGCTCTATAGTGGGAAATTGGCGAAAAAGCAAAGTGACACTGTCGAAAACCTGCAAAAAGCTTTTGTTCCACACGACTCAGGAAGCCATTCATTTCCTGTTGGCATTGCGGCAATAACCCCTATGGTGGATACGGCTGCATGTATGTACTCATATATCCACGCAGTACCGCGGCCTCCTCACATGAATCATATTGTACTTCGCAAATGAAGCGATAGGTGCATCAGGTGCGGTCGTCCATTTGTGGGCGGGAGAACGCGGTGGGCATCAGAGTCGGCATGTCGACAAGGCGCTATAGGGGTACCGTCCTTGGAAAAGGCGCCACGCAGCGCCTGCGCCGAAATCTCTCCGGCTAGGAATTTATCGCGTCACTTGCCTTTGGGACCTTCCACCCCTAGGAGAAGACGCAGCATCCTAGAAAATTCAGATCAGGACCTACGAAATCGGATCATTCTCCGCTTGGAAGTTACTGCTCTGTGCCAGCTTGAACTTTTGAGCCTAAAACTTTTGTCCGAATAGTGCCCTATGCGTAGTGTACACGTGGTACAGTAGTTGCGATATTCTGTCAGGTGAGAAGCTCATTAATGAATTCCCAGTGGAACTGATACTAATTGTGAAGTCAGAAACATTATGAGCACTATCTACGTTGTCCTGGTGACTTCACAAATATCCCCCAGGGAGGATGATTGCTCGCTCACCTATGAATCGCTTTTTTTTCAAGGGGAAATCGAGTGGATTTGGTAAGTTAGTTGACCGTCGCTCACAAGCTCGTCAAGCCATCATGGTGAAACCTGTCAACTCGAGAAGAGGCTGTCTAGATGGGTCGACACGTCGATGGGAATATAGCGAAAGTGCAAAATGCCCCCCGTCGCCAAACAGCGCCTGGATTGCTGAGAAATTGTGGCCTAGTTGACTAATTGCTAGCATGCACTGGATTGGGAAACGTGGCTACACTACGCTCTGATGTTGTTGAGTGGATGTGATGGCCGGAGGCTGGAGAAAGGGCGTCATCCCGGAGATCCGACATTTCACGCAAACTAGCGAAGTATTGGGTCGGCCTATAAGTAATGGCGTTTTTTTCTCATTCGAAATATCGCGCTAAATGTGAAACTTTTGCCGCTGAGTTCTATACCGTTTTGCAGAGAATTCCTTGCCCTATACGATAGTCTTCCTCAGTTTTCTTGAAGTTTCTCTTTCCACTAATATTTAAGTGCTCAAACTGGAGTGTCAGGTCGACGAAATTGAGCATTTTCGACAGCCTCTTTCCTCTGACTGAAAAGCTGTAACCGCAGTTGCTAAGTATGTGGCGGAAAGGTTATGTCTTTTAGAAATGCTCACAAGTAGTTTAGGTGATTCGAAGATTTCAATATCGACCTCACAGAGAAGCATCGGACCTAATGCCCTATTGAGTTCAACTGAGAGCTTACTGAATAACCTTATTCATGGAGATTCATACCAAGGATGGGAAATCGTTGGAGGTCATGGATCACTTCCTTTAAGCTCTACAGGCAGTCGCTCTCCAAGTGGACCCCTCATGTGATGCACATTTACAGAGTCCGAATTCCCATCTCTTAATCGCTTGAACCAACTTCAAGCTGTCATAAGAAGCACTTTCCTTGCTCATATATCTTACAAGTTTCGAGCTTCTTCTGTAATTTGAGAGCTGAGATAAAGTGCAAAAATTTGTTGTCGAAAACTCACTTTTGTGTCAACCAGACTTTTTTCAATGAAATAAAAATAAACAAAAATCAAAAAGCCGTAGAAAGGCAATTATGCTATGTTATAGTGCAGAAAATTATCTATCTAACAATGCAGAACACAGGAGAAAACAATTATTTTCCATATGAAAATTTGCATGAGAAAAAAACTATTACGCCATTAAAAACTATTACTAACTATTACGCCATTTACTTATCGGCTCACCCAATATTTCCTAGCTAGTTCACTTGACTTTGGATGAGATAAATTAGGTCACTGTATCTAATTCAGCACCTTCACCTGTGTATCCGTGTCTCTGCTTCCGCTAGTCGTCTAGCTTGCTGAAGCGACCGCCAAGCGAGCTTTCATTTGTCCCTGACACGATAAACATCACACCATTCTTTTAGAACTTTCACGAAAAAGTCTAACCGTAGCGCGGTCGTTCATATTCGCTTGACAACCCGTGGAATCCAGGCGGTGATCGTCCTGATCAGCTGTCATCTTCCAGGACCCCACCTCAGAAAATGAATGGAATGCTTTCTTCCATTTTAGGTTCTGCAAATAGTGAACGTGATCTGACAGCCCTAATTTGTCAATTCTTCAAAATTTCAGGAAGAAGAAAATAATTCACCAATCGCCGAGTTTGAGCCAATGCCGTACAATAAACGTGTACTACTTGAGCTGTCATGAACCAGTTAATTTGCCTCCAAACGGCTACGTCAAGCCAACGACATAGAACTATTTGCTGATTTGTGCTTATTTCCCGGAACTGCACCCAGGTTTCAATGTCCTTCTGCGAGAAATTTGTTCTCTCGTTCTTTCCTACGTTCGCCCATGCCGGCAGTGAAAAAACTCACCTTCATAGCATGTCCAGTTCCCACGTGTTTGGTACAAGCAATTTGGCAGCCGCTCTAAGAAATATAATTGTGCTCTCATTCTGAACCCGAAGTATAACCCTATCACTCTTGTCCTGGAAGTGCCCACCATGATCCTTCAATATGATCGGAAGAATTGTCGGCTAATCTTCTCTTGTCTGGTTTACTCTGGTGTAGTGGAAGTCTGTTCCCTCGCTCCCTCACTCTTCACGAAACGGAGTGTTTTGTTGGCAAGGTCAAATTAGCTTTAGTGCAGCGCCACATATGCTCTATCAAATATGCACGCCGTTCTACCTGGAATAATTCGATCAAAGCAGACGCTTGGTGCTCTTCACATAATCATGTGGAAGAATACCTGTAAAGCGGAAGTAAAGCAGAGTTGGAAGCTAATAGAAAAAGCTTCAAAAACAATGATTATTTGAGGTCTGCTAACTCTTGGATGGGAAATTGGGAGTTGGAAAATTGGAAAAAAAAAGAAAATTGGAACGAGTACTTTCCTAGGATCAAGCCAAGATTATAGAAAACTTCTATTCAGCTGACGGTTTACCGTTCTTTGCTACTTCAGGGTGTAGAAAGACGGAGGACAGTTCAGGTGTCCACCGATTAAGCTTACAAAAAAACTGAGCAGAAAAATGAGTTGTCTATACACTATGCCCTACAAGAAAAAATGACAGGTCTTACGCTGCTAGAAACACCGTGAAATTAAGACTGGAAATTACAAAGACACTTGAGCACACCTAGAATGGTATTTTTGGATTTTCCAAAAAAAAAAAAAAAAATGGTTCGGGGCCTTTTTTTTGTTTATTGTTTCAAAAAAAATAAACCCAAAAACAAGTTCCGTACCGGGTGTAAAACAGGTGTGTCACATGTGTCACACATTTCTCTCTCTGCCTGTTTCATGAAGACTTCTGATCTCTTCTTCTTGTTCTTCTTCTTGTTGTTTATTTCATGCTCTAAATTTATCAGACACGTTTCGAACATGGGCTACACATAAGGTATATGAAAGTCAGAGAAAGAATAAATCAATCCATTGTCGATGGCTGACGAAATGAACGAGAAATGATGCGGAATCTCGCGAGAACGACGGTCCGCCATGTGTTATGAACAGCGTCTCTATAATTTTTTCGCGATCCTTGGTAATATGGTGATCTTGCTTACTTCCAAGCCGTTCCATATTTATACAACGGCATTCCAGAAAAATAAGGATTTTCGTAAGCGCGAGACGACAGAAAGATATTTATTTCCGTATGAAACAAGTTCTCGCACTTTACTGCGATCTAAAACTGTAGCATGAAGTCACATATTCGCATCCGAGAATTACTTCTTGGATAAGTACCATGATGGGAACCTTTGGGTGACAGGAAGCGAGGCAGCTGTGAGCAACTAGTATCATAGTAGAACTAAACAGGTGCTTCCCAAGATCAGAGAGATCTTGAGCGACTGCTCGGGAAATCGCAGCTACTAATCCGACGTGTCGCTGATACAGTTAAAAAGAGCGTTTGAAGTGTGTGAAAGTAACTTGCAAGCGCACCCGAAAATCACCCGGTGCTTCTTAGGACGTCTTAACAAAAAAAATGCATTAATTCCTATATGCATGATATAAAATCTTTGCGATTTGCTGCGAATCTTCGTTAACCTCAACGCGGAACCCTTCCCAAACTAAATCGAATTTGTGTGTTTGGCGTCTAGGGGACCATTATGTTCGCTAAACTACAAATTCTACTAGTGAGGGAGCATCTCAACAAGGCAGAACTGAACCTTGCCCTATATGGTTGCCAGTGCAGAGCATAGAGCCCGTTATAGAAGCCTTATTTGATAATATAGTCTGTTTTCCTGGTGGAAGTGAATCTGATTCGACTTGGGCTCTGCTCTTAAAACCAAATCGTTTATCTGTTTCCAGCGCTCTTCCAAAAGGCTGTGTGCACTGTGCCAAGAAGGGCCGAACGGCTAAAAGACGCTTTCTAGGGATGCCTTTCAAAGTTTTGAATAGACCGATTTCAACTGGTCTTTATTGTTTCGTAGAAGCCTTTCCTATCAACTAAATGCTGGAAATATGACAAAAACGAATGTCGTTAATGGATGCATCAAGTCGTAGACGGTGGCTTGTGGCTCCGCCCCTCTATCGTCTCCACCAATCACGGGCAAGATGCGTATACAAACCGCGCCCCTTTCATGTAAATGCACTCATCTGTCACTAATATACAACCAACCACAACCGCATATACACGCACTGCTCATATGGACAACCTTACCGGCTTACAACGAACACCCAGTGAGTTGTGGGGTAATGCACTCCAGCTATTTCAAATATTTAAGCAATTCAATTACATGCACAGTAAATACATAATCAGATTTTGGTGCCATAAATGAATAAGGCGAAATTGTTCCGCGAAGATGTTTTTATTGACTAATAGGTGTGCGACCAACGTATGTGTGTGTTCAGCATATCAAATTGGTTATACTAATTTTATAAGTAGATAACCGTATTTGGAGAGATTAGCAGCCGAACAGTGGAGGCGATGCTAGTTGTTATGTGGCTTTCCGTCCGCGTAGCCTGCTCCGTATCTAGATTTTTCCTCTGAATTCACAGTTAAATTCAATCCGTTGCTCATATTCTAGGCCATAGGCACCGTGGATAAAAGCTATTCAGAGTTATTAGAGTCTCAAATGTGTATTTTTGTGGATCTTTACTATTTTCATTTCAGTGATCTCGCCTTACGACCATCCTCTAGACATCAAGCATGATCCGGCAGAGAAGCGCCATGAAAAGGTGGGTGGAATGGGTTTTGGGTAACTTACTGAAATTGGTACAGAAGTTTCACTAAATATTTTGACCAGACGAGATATCGCATCCAACCCATTGAAGCCGTTTACGTTCCTCTTCTGGGACTGCTGCCATTCAAAAGCACCCCAGAACTCGCTAATGCTTAGAAATGTCTGAGTAAGTAGTAAGTCAGTAGTTGAGTGACGTGCAGCGACAACGTGAACGTCGTGAACGACGAGCCAATCAGCGCACCGAAGAGGCTGTGCTAGTAAGGGGAGTTTGGAGACAATAATCTGTGCAGGAGCCTTGCTTTCAACAATGCACTTCCCTGAGTTAGACGAAATTACTCAGGACTATTCCCCGCCTTACTCCACTTATGGCTCTACGAAAATCTTAACTATCTGTGCTTAATTGGTGATCATGTCCCATCGTAATATGAAGAAACGCAGTACGAGTTTCTATATGTTCAAATTGTTTTTACTTAGATTAGTTTTTTTGGTCACTTTTTTTAGTTTTGTTTGCAGGAATCGAAAAAACAGCGCCGGAACCGCACCACCTTCACCACCTTCCAACTGCATGAGCTGGAGCAGGCATTCGAACAAAGCCACTACCCGGATGTATACGCTCGTGAACAACTCGCCAAAAAGAGTGAAGTTGCCCGAAGTGCGAGTACAGGTTAGTGACGGTCGGAACGTGATTTCTTTTTTCTAGCATGTAAGAGCTTACCTAAGAAGATATTCTTAACGGTTCAACGCAATCGCCATCTGATACAAATACAGAGCTTTTTGGTCACAAAAATTGACCATTTGAAATGCTTTCCATCGATTTTTTAAGGGAGGACTCTGCATTCATTTTGTACACTTCGTTTGAAGCTTGTTGAACTATTTCGTTTTCGCAAGTGTTAGTCGATCGATGGTAGGCAGGAGTGTACTGTAGCTCTGGTCACAAAATCCAATCCGGAGTTTCCAATGTTCTCACACTACTTTTCTGCGGCGCCTTCCGTTGTGGATCGCCATGAATGAATTTACCAACCGTTCATGGAGGCAACAGTGATTGGCTAGAAACTTTCTATGTGTTTTTTTGAAGAGAGACAAGACGGATCGATGTTGTTGCTCCGGAAGAAGTCCCATCGGAGAAGCACCCTATGACCAAGCAGTACCTATACCAGGCTGGAACCAGACAGTCCCGTTCCAATGGTGAAATCGAGGAAAAGCATTGCAATTTCTGGTAGGAGATTCACATCTGTGAAAAACGACTCTCACCATCACACTTGTTCATCGCATAGTATGCTCTTCACACTGTTGCCAACTGAACACACACCTCTGTGGATCCTAGTCCTTACCGTGCTGGAATTAATAGGTCCGTAGCAGCAGTAGGCGTGCACTTCCTCTGGTCAGAACTCGCACGGAAGCGGAGTCAAGGCATTTATGGAAATTTGAGTGGCATAACGCACACAGGGCATGCCATCGTTGTGATGACCACAACGTGCGGGGTCGTATTTGACCGCGAGGGAGGGGGGTCGTATTTGGTCTGAGAGAAATTTTTTTGGTAGTTGATTTTTCTTGTTTCACGCTTTAAGGGGAAGGGTCGTATTTGGCCGTTGTTCAGACTCTATACAACTCTATTTCCGATCGTTGAAACCTCACGACCCCCCCCCCCTCGCTCGACGGAAAATTCTTGGCTGAAAAAGCTGGAAATTTTTCGGGAAAAATGGAAAAAGTGGTAGGAAGTTGGGAAAATGTAGGAAAGTGGTAGGTAGCATGAGAAGGGGCCGTATTTGAGGGCAGAATTAGGGGGGGGAGGGCGTTTTTTTCAGGAAGCTGATCACACGAGATGGAGTGCTCTGACCGCACAGCCAGCCTCACGCTACAGCCATAGCCGAAGGCGCTATTTGTCTACGCCATCTCATTTCTGGTTTTCCATACCGTTGTGCGGGTTTCGCTGTGGTACCTCGGCATCGAACCTCTTGGAGTATAGAAGGGACACGGGGGTGAGTTGTCCCGAGCCCGTTCCGCTAATTTTTTGCGAGAGGTGTACATAATCTTAAGTGCAGATTAAGGCGACTCTAGCATCATGACAAAGTACTATTACAGGATGACTACATCTTGATTTGAGTGCGAAGTTGTTACTGAAGCAAAAGTATTTGGAAGGTTTTCATGACACAAGTTTGCTTTTTTGAGACATATCCAACCAACTAGCAAAGCAAAGCTATAGAAATCTCTAGTAGATTTGAGGAGACGAACGCTCGATCTTGCCTTTTCGTGTACATTATACCCTTCCATCGTCTAGCCCAAACTGGAACAAAAGTAATTTTTTTCGATACTGAACTATGTATCGAAGCTAGGGAGTGGCTTGCATTGTTTATTGTCCCTACAGTAGGTTTTTTGTTATTTATTTCACATGCTCGCTTGAATAGTTAGTGTTTTGGCAAAAGCGGTTGCCCATATGAAGTCGCAGTACTGCACACACAGAAAAAACCAAGGCTTGTGTGTTGGTAACAAAACCTTTGACGGCGCTATTTTGTAGGTACACTAATCATAAGCTCCTCATTGAACTTTTCTTTCCTGAGATGCTGCAATCCGTTCTAGCCAGTCAACAGGAAGGGACTGTGTCTTGGGAGCTCAGTAGTGAAGTAATGGAGTTCATGCAGTACATCATCATCCGCGGTTCTGCTACTCCCTTAGCTGCGGAACTCGCTAGCACTAGTCCAGCAAGATGACATACAGTGGGGCAAAAAAACTTGGAACAAGTTTAAGTCGGCGCCTTTTTCAACAGCTTTACATCAATTGTTGCAACTTGCACATAAAAACTTTGGCGACTTTTTGCCCTTTTTGGCGACCTATGAACGAACCAGGTATCTGCACAAGTCGAGGCCTACAGCCGACAGCGCCCTCGTGCCCAAGTGCAGTACACTCCAATGCTGAACAGAAGAGGGTTGCTGGCACTGGTGAAATCAAACGATACAACGCGAAATGCTATCCTGCAAAGTGTAGACTCAGTTCCGCGGCTTCTTGTTTTCGGAGGCGATTGAGCAATCATGTAGTCGCTAATTATTTTAGATTGTCCCGGAAAGTTTTCAGGTTTGTGCCGGATATTTTTTTGTACCATTCACTGCTGATTAAAAACTCATTCTGCCTTGTTTCTCAGTAGCACATCCTGTAGAGAATTTCTTGCGCTATCTGATGGTATAATTGCCGTTTCACCATTGCTTGATAAACCCCTTTTTTCAAGATTTTTTCAAGCATGTGAAAAGAGCACTTTGGACGAATTTTTTCTTCGACTATAAATTGGGGCAATCCGCAATCGAAACAGCTCAACAAATTAACCAGGTGTGGGGGCCAATAGTGCTAGAGAAAGCACTGTGCGGCAATGGCTCAACAAATTTCATTCTGGAGACAGCCTTGAAGATGAACCTCATAGCGGTCGACCTAAAGCAATATCTGACGAGGATTTTAGGGGGATTTTGGAGGCTGACCCATCCCAAACAGTTCGAGAGATAGCAAAGAGCTAGGCTTTGCAAATCCACTGTTGCAGATGGTCTGGAACGCATTGGGAAGGTGAAAAAACTCGACAATTGGGTGCCCCACAATCGGAGTGACCGGCAGGAATCGGCACGTCTCGAGGTTCCTTCTGCATTGCTTTTGCGCAGCAGAAACGACCTGTTTTTGGGCCGAATTGTCACCTGTGATGAAAAATGGGTCATGTATGATAACAGGAGACGTTCCGGACAGTGGTTGGATTTCGACGAACCACCGAGGTAATTTTCAAAGCCGAACCCTCACGAAAAAAGATTCTGGTCACGGCTTGGTGGTCATCGGCTGGTGTGATCCACTATAACTTTTTATCACCAGGCCAAACCATCACAGCAGAACCCTACTGTGAAGAAATCGACGAATTGTACCGAAAATTTTGTCAGATGCAGCCAACACTTATCAAAAGAAAGGGTCCGATTCCTTTGCATGACAACGCCCGCCCACACGTTTCACAAATCACTATCCATAAATTGAACGAATTGGGGGTTGAAGTTCTACCTCAACCGCCATATTCTTCAGACCTTTCGCCAATCGACTAACATTTTCAGAACTCCCTTGCTGGAAAATACTTCATCAATCAGGACCAGGCAAAAAAGCCTTCGTGGATTTCGTGAATTTTCGACCACCCAGTTTTTTACTTTGATGGGATTTCTCGTCACATTGGCAAAAGTGTGCTGATTCGAATGGTGCCTATTTCGATTAAATCCGATGAGTATTAAAAAAGTTACGATCGTTTAAAGTGAAACACCCAAAACGCTGAGAACTTTCCGGACAACCTAATATTTTTCGGTGCCGAACCCAGTGCGGGCTCAAGCACCTTTTTACTGCTTAGATCTATGCTGTCCTTTTTTGATATTACTGAAGGTGTACGCAGGTGATCATTGAAATGTCACAAAGATTAGTATGGATGGCTGGTTCCATTCAAGGCACGTGGGTCGCTCTTGCAAGGCCAAGTGGTCTAGTGGTATGATTCTCGCTTTGGGTGCGAGAGGTCCCGGTTTCGATCACCGGCTTGGCCCTAATTTTTGCAAGCTTGGTATACTAACTTTGAGCAGATCGTCTCATAGCACATAAGGTTCAAGTGGTCGGTTCGGCCAGTAGCTTCATAGATTGTTAATTTTTAGCCCTGATTAAAATTTTTCAATCCCTTACTACTTGAATTCGTTCTCACCCCTCTGGGCATTAAGAAGGGTCGATTATGAAAAGGTGAAACGGTGGACGATTCCTACGGGCGATCACCATCCAATGACCACGGTATGTCCTGTCACAGGAGAAAATCTGCAAAATACGCCCTCACACAATATTCTTCTTGTACGCTCCCATCCCCCCTTCCCTATCCTACGTATTATGTTTCCAACTGTCCTACCACATTTACCGAAATTGCTCAAAAATTTTCCAGTTTTCCTCCCCCAGACTTCATCATCGAAAAGTCAACAAAAAAAGCAGCGCGGTAAATTTCTCCGACCCGCTCCATCCAGGCCCAAATACGACCCCTCCCCTCCAGAGATTTCCCAACGTAGGATGCCCTGTCAATAACATGTTTGGTAGAAACGAACATCATATAAATAAGTTATGAACGTGAAAATGGGTGCGGGATAACGTTTTTGCCACGTTGATGTATTCATTTCGCTGGGAACTGCAGCTGCAATTTTTGGTGCAACAAAAATAGTTCCAAATTCACGGCCCTCTATTCTCGCTAACTCACGATGAGTTCAATATACGACCAATTTGACCATTTCTCTGGCTGCATCTTATAGCACCTAGAAGGGGGTGAGAGATGGCCATTATGTTGGCGTCGAATTCTTCTCTGAAATTCTCATCTTTCCCAACGTCCTACGCAATTCCTTCTAGAGATACCTTATGGAAAAGCATTCTTCTTTAATAAATTGGGCCTTCATTACATTATAATTGCCATAGTTATGGAAGTTTAAACGTCACAAAGCAAAATTTACTGCGTCATCGCTTTCCGTACGGATTACTGTAGTAGAGTGCAGTGTTGGGCACGTTCTTTCACACGCCGAGTATTTAATCGTTTAATCACAACAGCGCGCATAGAGACACACCTCCATAATCCGACAGTAATCCTACAGTAATTCGAGTCACGTCACGGCCGTCTCCACTGTTTCACCACAAAGGACATCGGATTACCGTTAATGGCATGTCTTGAACATCAGATAG